CCCCAGCTCCCTCAGCCGCTCCCCACCAGCCCTGTGCTCCAGACCCTGCCCCAGCTCCGCTGCCCTTCTCTGGACACGCTCCAGCACCCCAATGTCCTTCTTGTGCTGAGGGACCCAAAACTGGACACAATATTCCAGGTGCAGCAGTTAACAGTAACTATTCCAGGCCATCAAAAGCCACAAAAGTGTTTGCATCTCCCATCGATAGCCACTTCAACTACAACTAACAGCACCTATCACTTTCTCTGGGAAGAGTGCATTTGGAAGCCAAAAATTGAAGCAAGCAACTAAACCCCAGGTGTGGAGGGCTGATTTCTTATGACTGTTACTGAGGAGTCTGACGTAAGCCAGATTGGTTCTCAAACCTACACCGTGATCTCAAACCATGCCCAGGAGATCAAGCCCTACAAATTGATTTATTTCTGTAGGCATTCTTTAGGTAGATAAGGCATCCCTTTCTGCAGAAAAAAAAAAAAAAAAAAACACCAAAACTTCTCCAGTTAATGGTGTACAAAAAGATTAGACCTTGACACAATCAACACATACGTCATAACTGCGGTAAATAGGTTTACAAGTAATGAAAGGCGAGAAGAGCTTCCAAGGATGATGTATAGGGGAGCTATTCTCATTGCAAACAAGGTATTACATCTTTTTACCTAGACAAGCCAAGAAACCTTGAGACATCTGAAATCACAGCAATATAAAAAAACCTGCATGGTAGACATACAGAGAAGCGGTAGGGAACGAGTACTCACCATTTTTCCCACGAATGAGATCTTCCACTAGAGGTTTAGCCACCACGTCAAAAAGCTGCTTCTGAACAACAAGGGTGCCAAACACTTCTTTAAATGAATACTGCGTCTGAAGAAGAGGAGAGACACCGTCCTAAATCTTAAAGCTTGCCTGTCCAGAAGTCCCTTGCTTCAAAACGCTACCTTACAAACCTTACCAAAACAGACCTTACAACCACTTTCCATCAGCTTACCAGAATGACAAAGGTTCTACTTTAGGATTATACCAGTGTTTGAACACGTTGCTCCAATGTAACTATTTGGAGAATAAGACGTGCATAATGAAGAACAGCAACTGCCTCATTTTCACAGAGCTTAAGTCTAGAAATAATCAGAACGATCGCAAAGCCCGACCTCCCAGCAACCGGAGAACCTCAGCATTCACAGCTTCAAGCTCAAATTTCTGTTTGAGCTCCAACCGTCATCCACGCAAGGAAAGGAACACCCACAACAGCCAAAGTCAAGTAGTTCCAGCATTTAATCATTTTGTTTTAAGCCTGTGTCTTTTTCCATTCTAGCCTCAGTTTCCAGTCATAGGTTTTCAATATATATTTTTTTTTTAAATTAATCTGGTCACTTTTCAATCAAAACACCCGCTTATGTAAACATTTGGCTTTTAAGTTTTTGTGCAGAGGTTTGTTTACCAAACTTTTCATTAATCTTTGCCTATTTTATTTAAGCCTTTGAAGATCCCTTTATGTACTTCCTACAAGAATTTCCCATACCGAAATTGGAAACAAAGTATTCTACATGCCAACTAAGGTTCTTTGTTTTTTTTTTCTCTTCCTTAGAAACATTATGACCTTGTATTATTTAGAGTTACAGCACTGTGGTGGGAATCTGCAGTTAACTGTTTCACTACCAAAGCATGTTGGGTGCAACAGTACTCTGGCTCCTCATTCTGTACGCGCGACCTAAACCCTCCCGTGGTAGGAAACCTTTGCGTTGCTCGAGCTGACGACACGAACCACTTTGTGACCTGGTACCTGCTTTTCTACGCTTCGTGACACTTCACTGCTTTGTATACATAACCTACAGATCTCCCCCCATACGTGCTAGATAAATAGGGAAACGTTGCTTTTTTTACCTGAATTAAGTTTGGGATAACTCAACCGTGAATGCATTTGTGACTGGCTTAGCTCAGAGCTACTGTCTTTCAATTAGTCCTACGTGAAAAAGTCCTTCATGCAGTCTAAATATTTTCCAGCTTTGCTTTTGTTCCTTTTACCCTCCTCCTCCACCCTGCAGACGCCTTTTTGTACATGGACAATGCGTTTGATGGCTAAGGGCACATTTTCGCTCTAGGTAGTTTTCTAGTTTTGAAAATTCTCTTTTCTAAAAGCACAAACAGCCGATTTGCACGCCGCAAGAGACACCGCAAGCCAACGGAAGAGATCGACAGCGGGGCAAAGGACCTCCATCCCTAATTCCAGGCTGGAAGGCAGCCCCGACAGCGGGGCAAAGGACCTCCATCCCTAATTCCAGGCTGGAAGGCAGCCCCGACAGCGGGGCAAAGGACCTCCATCCCTAATTCCAGGCTGGAAGGCAGCCCCGACAGCGGGGCAAAGGACCTCCATCCCTAATTCCAGGCTGGAAGGCAGCCCC